TTACTATTATTAATATTTTACTTCTTAAACAAGACAAATTTTGCTCCTGAAAAAAGTAAAAGTTGTTTTTTTTAAAAGTCGCCTCATAAAGCATCAAACTGAGGATTCGGCCTCCAGGTTTGATAAATGATCTGTTGTCATATTTTCCTGCAGCGCCTCCAGCGGAGCCTCACCTGCGTCTCCCGCCCAGCCCAGGGCTTTGTACTGCCGCAGGACCCGGCCCACGGCGTTCCCGCTGTGGCCCAGAACCACGGCCCGCTGCGTCCCGAACCGCTGCCGGTAGTACCTCATGAGGGAGCGGTGGCCCACCTTCGCACCTGAGGAAACAAGCAGTGGCTTGAACGGCGTCCCGACCAAAACCAGCAGCTGGAACCGAAGGTCACCTGAAGGCAGGGTCAGCTCCATCGTCTCATCGTCGTACTCCAGGTTCTTCTCGTCCGGCAGATCCTCGTTCATCTCTTCATCCGCTCCCTCGCTCCGGTCCGGATAGCTGCTCCTGTTGGACAAACGGCAGCAGCACATCAGTTCAAGATTTCACAAAGCAAAGGAGGAAATCTGTCCAACTTCAGGAAACATTAAAGTTCATCGTCTCAAACTGAAGAAGGTTAAAAACATCTAAACCAGAGAAACACCTGAAGTCGTAGAAATCTGCGAACTCCAGGGCGGCGTCTCCGTCTGTGAACAGCTTGCAGTGACTCTTATCCGTCATGTGGCTCTGCACCGCCTCTGTGGAGTAAAACGAACGCCCCTTCTCGTTGCACCACAAGCAAACGTTCCCAGCACCGACTTTCTCTCCTGAGGAAAAAAAGTTCAGAAATTATCTTGATCTGCAATAAAAAAATCTGAAAAATTTTGAAATAATCTAAAAATATCTCAAATAAACAAGGAGATTTCTGAGCTCCAAAAGTCAAAAACATGCAAGGAAAAACAGAGTTTTAGATTAATGACAGAAATTTTCTAGAAAAGATTTCTGAGTTGAAATTTCTCAAAATTAGATTTTTTTAAATTTTTTTTTTTTGACAAAAATGTACCGCTCCTTTTAAATAATGTACAAATTTAATGTTTTTTTACTCAGCATACGAAAACCCTTCATGTTCTGGATAAAATCTCCAAACAAGAGAAAAGTCAGGATTTTCAGAGAGTGGCATCAGTTAATTGTTGGTCCTTTGATCTTTCATCCCTGGTGGAAACGGATCATCAGAATCTTGTTTTAATAAAGCTAAATATGTAAAGCCTGATGAGAAATGTGCAGAGGTGTCCGTGGGACCCACCCAGGTACCGGACGAGGCCCCTGAGGTCCACCAGGAACTCCACGTCTGGGATGAAGAAGCTGTGGACTTTGGTCATGTGAGCCACGTTCTTCAGCAGCGAGCGGGAGCGGTGGGAGCAGAACAGGCAGTGTGTGACGGGGACCGAGCCCGGCAGGGGGCCCGACGTCCCCGAAGAGCCGCCCTCCTCCATCTGCTCCTCTTCATCCACATCTTCCTCCATGTCATCATCGTCATCAACATCCTCCCACTCCTCTGGAGGGTTGAACACAAACACAGGTCACACACTTTCCCCACAGTGAAATTCAAGCTCTTTTCAAACTTTTATAAGATAAGTTTTCAAATATTTTCAGCAACACTTTGGAGATAAAAATATAAATGAACTAAAAAATATATTTTCAATTCAGTGTAATTCAGCCCCATTTATTACTTTGATTAATAATTTCATGTGATAATATTCTACATTCTAGATAAACTAAAACAGAAAAATGTTGTTTTTGAAATGTCTGTCTAAAACACAACTTGAATAAAAAATTCCCCAAATTTCAATAACTTTAATGTCTAAAACATAAGATGATCAATAAGTCACTGAGCCGTTATGAGTAATAAATATTAACTACATTGAAACAATTCGGACATAAAGCTAAGTTAAATGACCTTCATGCTCAAATTAAATGTTTAAAATATATTTAAAAAAAGAAAAAGTCACAAACAGATTCATACAAAATGTCCTCACTAAGTTTTCTGGTGTTTAGCAAATAGAAATTATTTTAGTAATTCTAACTGACTGAAATAAGAAACATCTGATTTAATTTTCAACTGTAAATAAAGTTTTCCAAATTCAGGCTGTTAAACATTTCTTTACACGTTTTACCAAACTGTCCAGTTTGAATATTAAGCTCTTTCAAGGACTTCATATAGAAATCAAGAACTTTCCAAACACCTAATAGAAAGTCAAGGATTTCCAAGGATTTCAAGCACCTGTACCCTGAAAAGAACAAATCTTCTTCATTTAAACCAGGGGTCCCCAAACTTTTTCCTGCGAAGGCCACATAGCTGTTCTTTTCGACGGGGGGGGGAGGCGGGGGGGGGGATGGGGGAGGGAGGGGGCGACGACACAACGACACATTCGCGCTTTTAGATAGATTTTTACCCAGAATGCAAATGGAAAAAACCGTGAGTGAAACGGTCACTGGGACCATTGAGTGACCGTTGAGGGAAAGTTAGTTTCACATCTGCTCAAGAGCCCCCCTGGTGGTTGAAGAAAAATCCACATGTAAACCAGAAAATACAATATATGGAAAAAAAACACTGAATGCTCTCTGGTATGAGGAGGCGGGCCGGATCTGGTATTGTTCAGGGGGCCG